ATCAATAAGGGTACCTGATCTCAAACCAGGCAAAGTGGGGACCAAAGGGAGGCCCAAACGTTACCTGAATGATGTTCACTTGTATGCCTAATAATGAATTGTACCCCACATCTTTAAAATAAAAAAAATTAAAAATTATATTTATATTGCCTCCAGTGGCAAATATTTAAAGTAAAAGTGAAATAGAGATACACTATTACAGAGTTCTTGTCCATACAGAGAATGCAGAGATGGGGGAAGTTTCTCTGAAAGTTATCCCTAATTAATACCTTGGATAGAGTTTTCTTTCAAATCATCAGGAGGTAGTGAGTTTTTTAATAAAAAACTGGTGATCAAATTCTTCCAATAATTGTTAAGTTCTTGATATCTTATGTCAAATAAATTGTGAGCAGAAACATTTGAATACTCCCAGGTAAACTGATATAGAATCAGAAGCAACAAGTCATCCACACTATATGTTCTGTGAGAAAGTAAGAGATACATTTATAGTTGAGTCGTCTATTAAGAAAGGAGGAAAGATAGCTGGGCATGGTAGTGCACGCCTATAGTTCCAGCTACTTGGAAGGCTGAGACGGAAGGATCACTGGAGCCCAGCAGGTCGAAGCTGCGGTGGCCGGGAGTATGCCACTGCCCTCCAGCCTGGGCAACAGAGTGAGACTCCAACTCAAAAAAAAAAAAAAAAAAAGGAGGAAAGAGATGCACTATCATAATTAGATAATAGATAACATTATTGAGAACTTATTAATTGACTGACATTCTAAATGTTCTACATGTATTAACTTATACCCTGGTTTCTCTGCAGATCACATAAATCTTTTGCTTTTTATATGTTTTAACTCATCGAGTCATCACAGCAAGTCAATGAGGTATGTACTATCATCATTCCCATTTTACAGATTAGGAAACTGAAGGCCGGATAAGTTAAGAAACTTGCTCAAGGTTACATATCTAATAAACAGCAGAGCCAGGGTATAAACCCAAGGGAGATTGGCCCCAGAGCCTATATTAATCTTACCCACTACACTAAACCTTTCTCAATATAAGGTTTATAATAAAAGTTACTATAATTTTTCTAATGGCAAATATAGTATTTCTGTTGAAACAACTTACTTATTTTCAGATTCCAGCATTTGAGAAACTTTTGGAAGAACAAGACAAAATAAACACCTGTGTGATAAAGTAATATAGAAAGTGATTCTTAGAAGAAACGTGAAAGAATATATACCAAATTTTTATCCTTGATTATACTAACAGGCAAAAGTGAGAAAAGAGAAGGAAAGGGGAGATTAATCTTATTTTATTTACATATCTTTGCATTGTTTTAATTGCAATAAAATATACATATTTTATAATTTTGAAAGATGAATTTAATAAAATAATTTTAAGATAAAGTGGTGCTATAACAAAAATTTTTAAACGGTTCCATAGTTCATACCATTGCCCCAAATCACCTTCTAGAACATTAGGTGTGGTGTACCAGTTCTTACATTTTTCTTTCTATAAATGAACCTGGAACTGGCTTTTTAGGCCCACATAAACTGGGATCACTATTCTTTGAAGTGATCTGGCAGCATAGTGACAAACTGACAAAATAAGGTAGTTACTAAAGTTTTAAACCCTAAAAATCTTTTAAAAATACCACGTGTCCTGAATGATTTTAAATATATACTTGACTGAAGGCATACAAGTATCTCAAGATTCTTTCTGACTCTTTTTTCCATACAGAAATGTGGTCTCAAGTGTAACTGACCAACAGGAAAACCACTCTAGAATCCTTCTGGTTTTCCATTTTTCATAGTCACACCATTAGTAGTCCCAACCTCACCCTCCTCTGCTTCACTATTTTATGTAAAAGTTCCCTTTTGACAAATCATTTTCCTTCCTGGAAAGAGACAATGGAGAATATCAGGTTCAACTGCTATGTTTTGTTTTTGCTTTACTTTGTGCATGTGGGTTAAGAGTTGTTAAGTAGGCATTGATCTCATCAGTCCTATTTCAGTAAAGTTTATAAACTGAGAGTAAGATGAGCTGAAGTAATTCTTTCTCTTCCACAGAATGTAGATTGCTTACTTTAAAGCTGTAAGGACTTGTTGTGGGTCTTCTGAATGTTGAGCTAAATATTCCAAAGCTTTCCCTGCCACAATTTGTTGTCCATTCTAAAAAGAACAAATATGATATGTTAAATTACATCTCAAAGTGATACTTGTAAAATGTTATCTATATTTCTGTCCATTAAGGATAAGACAAAAATCTCAACATGTTTATTCTCAAAAGAGCTACTGCAAGATGATAGAATGAAGATACAACTCATCAACAAAAACAGAATAGGTTTATATTAACCCCAGAAACCCACAAACACTCACAGCCTTGCCAACACTGCCCTGAGTCCACTAGGACAAATTTTATTGTACACTTTATCCTCATTTGTTAGCAATAACCAAAAACAAACACATACACAAAATCCAGACTGTCAGATCGTGCTCATTTCCAGCATTCAAATCTCCAAGAGGTTCTGTATATCCCCTTTTCTATCCTCCTTTTCTAGATCGTCCAACTCTTCTACTATATTCTGTGAAATTCAGTCTACTATCAGCAAAATCTTCTCTATGAGCAGTCTCTTCTCTGAAATTTCCCTTCACATTCTTGCTCTAATGGAAATCTAGGTTTCTGCCAATGATATTGCTTTCACTGAAGCCCTCTTAAGTAGTGGCTGATTATGCTTTCACTGCCCTAGTCTATCCCTAGGCCTAGAGATGGAGCAGGTGTTTGTCTTGCTCTTCATTGCTATTTAAAAATCATTCTCCCATTCTATTTCCTAAAATCCCTAAATTTGAATTGCCTGTCACCAGACTATATTACCCACTAACCTTCATTGTTGCAGTTTCCAGGTCATTTCTTCTTATTTCTCAATGACTTCTCAATTGCTCAGTTATTTTTCTCCAAAAACTGTTCCTATTTTAATTTTTGGTATTTTCAAAATAGAGGGAAGATTCTAGTTTCTTAGTTCCTTGAATTCCACTCTGCCAATTACCTTAGCCATTCATTCCCACAGTCATTCACTAGACCGTGTCATTACTAATAATCCTAACTCTTCCATACACTCAGCCAGAACTAGGACTAGGATGAGTCAGGTGAGGTAAGTGAGGCACCTAGGGTGCAATATTTAAGGAGTCTCTTAGTGTTGTACAAGTACCAAGCCTGCACTTGCACAACCTAGAGAATGGGTGCCTTCTAAGTTTTGTGCCCTAGATGCCTCACTCCCTCACCCTAGTCCTCCACGCAGCTCTCAGTTTCACAAATTTTAGTTTCTACCCAAGCCTCTTACCTTTCCAACTTTCTCCCTCTATTACCTCAATCCAGCAATCCTTCAACTGCAGTAAGACCTGTAATCTACTGATACTACCAATTTTTCATTGTCCCTTGTCTACTTGATGTCCTCCATATCCAGTTTAAATTCCATGAGGATTAATTATAACCTCTCCCATCTTGTTCCTTGATTTTCCTGCCCCTCTTTTGCTTCATTATTCACCTGGTAAAATGATAAGTCTGGTTAAGTCCAACTTTCTACCAACTTTTGTGCCTACATCCATTCAGCAGAATGTGGCCAGGAAAAAAATATACATCTACTTGCTTTATTTTAAAACTTCATCAAATGGTTCTTAATGCTACTGGCAAACATTGCATTTCCCTACTCATTCACTTTTCTACTTTCCTGAATGAATATTGCATACTTTACTCTTCTCAACTTACCAACACCTCCTCTTTCAAGCTCATCACTTGAGAGTGAGAATAGGAGAGGAGAAAAGAAGAGGAACTAGTAAATAATGAGGGTGACTTATGAGCAGGAAGAAAACGAGGACAATTGTGGTGTCCTGGAAGCCAATTTTAAGAAGGAAAGAGTGATCAACTGTGTTGAATGTTGCTGACAGGTCAAATACAATGAAGACTGAAAATTAACTACCGCAATTTACAATAGAGAGGTAATTGGGGACTCTGACAAAAGAAATTTTGTTAGAGCGGTGAGGCAAAAGCCTGATTGGAATAAGCTCAAGAGAGAATTGGAGGAAAAGAATTGGAAACAGTAAGCATAGACAGCTCTTTAAAGAAGTTGAGCTACAAAGGAAAGAAAAGAAATTGGGCAGTAGTCAGTGAGAGAACAAGGGTCAAGAGGGTTTTTGGGGTTTTGTTTGAGAAGAGATAAATGAGAGTGTATACTGATAGGAATAATCCAGTAAGAGAACAAAAAGTTGACAAACAAGAGAGAGAAAAAGGCAAGAGGTGACAGAAACAAGTGTATAAGTTAAGGAACTGGCTTTAGTAAAGAACATGGATAATTCATCCATGATAGCAGTTGAGAAGGCAGACTGTGGTGTGATTCCTGTTGTATGAGTAGAGGTGGTAGAAGAAATCTGTGGAAGTTCTCTTCCTGACTGTTTCAGTATTCAGAACCTAAATTATCCACATTATCTCTTGTGTGGGGGATGGGGTGGGAGAAGAATTTTGTAAAGGGATTTATAGATAAGGTAGCTTATTTTATTTTATTTTTTGAGTTGGAGTCTCACTTTGTCACCCAGGCTGGAGAGCAGAGGCATGATCATGGTTCACTGCACACTTGACCTCCTGGGCTCAGGCATCCTTCTGTCTCAGACTCCCAAGTAGCTGGGATACAGGCACATTCCACCATGCCCAACTATTTTTTTTTTTTTGTAGCGATGATGTCTTGCTATATTGCCCAGGCTAGTCTCAAACTCCTGGGCTCAAGCAATCCTCTCACCTTGGCCTTCCAAAGTATTGGGATTACAGGCATGAGCCAAGGTAGCTTATTTTAAAAGAAGAGAAAGCAATATTTTACCTACTTGATATCCCATTCTCACTACCCTTGTCTACATTCTTATCAGATTATTACCAAAGTTTCCCACTCTGTTCTGTTTCTAATTTCTCCCCCATTCAGCTCCCCAGGCACAACCCAAATTATTTTCCTAAAGCACTACTTTTACATAATTATCATCCGTACTTTCTTATTGTTTAGAGAATAAAACATATAGACAATCTGGCCACAGTCATCTCTTCTACTTCATCTTACACTCCACCCCTATATCATCAACATAGCAATACAAAACACTATACATTAGGCAAAAGATCTGAAATGGTGGAGATATAAGCTCTCTGTCACTCTAACCAACCCACCCTTCTAAAAATGTTCTTACATATATAAATGCTATCCTTTTCAAAGCCCAACTTAAGGTTTCCCTCCACTGTAGAGACTTCAAAAGTCAATTCCAGCTCTCAGTGCTCTCTTCCTACTCTGAATTTCAGTAATTTTTAACATGTATATTAGTTATTTGGCCTTTATTCTATATCCTGCCTTACATTGCTAATGCATGGCTTGTCTTTTCAAATAGATTTGTGAGATCCTTGAGGACCATATTTCTAGCACCTAGCCTACTATCTTGCCTAAAGTAGTTGCTAAATACCATTTGAATGACATGTATTTTGATGTTAATGAATAGGGTAATAGAACTCCTGAAGGAAGAAAAATATTTGGCAAATGCAGATACAGGATGTATTTGTGCAGGATGTGGAGGAGGAGGAGAGAGAGAAATTCTGCTGTTGGAAACCCAGAAAAGAGGTTTATAAATTTACTTTTAATATAGAAAGCTGAAGAGAGCCAGTGGAAGAATTATGAAGTTTTGAACAGGAAGATAGTTTTCATAAAGTAGAAAGAATCAGAAACTAAAGTATTTAAATAAGACGGTAAGCTTCAGCGGGGCTCGGTGGCTCAGCCTGTAACGCAGCACTTTGGGAGGTCGAGGTGAGTGGATTGTTTGAGTCTGAGGGTTCGAGACCCACCCAGGCAACTTGGCAGGACCTCATCTCTAAGATAAATCAAAAATCAGCCGGGCGTGGTAGCGCACACCTGTAGTTCCAGCTACTTAGAAGGCTGAGGCAGAAGGATTGCCGGAGCCCAGCAGGTCGAGGCTGCGGTGGCTGGTAGCGTGCCACTGCATTCCAGTCTGGGCAACATAGAGCGTCTCCAACTCAAAAAAAAAAAAAAAAGATAAGCTTCATAGTTAACAAATCACATTTTCAGTCATCTTCTTTGTTAATTTTCATAACAATCTTGGAGGTAGGTATTATCTATATTTTGCAAATGACGAAATAAAGATTCGAGGAAGTTAAGTACTTATTAAGTGGCAGAGCCAGTAGTCAAACCCAGTCCAAGAGTTCCACAGCTGCTACCAGGCTCTTCCTAATCCTGTATATTAACAAAAACCGTAATTTTGTAAGTAACAAACAGGGGTACAGGTATTTATTACTTCTAAACTAATATTGCTTTGTGGTTATAAACTAAAAAGCTTCACAGAAACTTAAACCACTTTGTTCAAATTGATGAGAAAGATACGTTTTTGAATAGATATCTATTTATTTGCATAGTATGACATTTCAAATCTGGAGTTTCACTTAAAAATTAATGTTTTGCTATGTTTATTTTCTATGTTGTTTAGAGCACAACTGTTATCTCACTGTTTCATTTACTTTTGTCTGTATTATAAAAAAGAATAAGCTGGGCACAGTGATGCATGCCTGTAATCCCAGCACTTTGAAAAGCTGAGGCTGGAGGATTGCTTGAGCCCGGCCTGGGCAACACAGCAATGGAAGGAAGGAAGGAAGGAAGGGAGGGAGGGAGGGAGGGAGG